GCTTAGGGTATTTTTCTTGAATAAGATATACCTTTTTTTAAAAAAATACACTAATTACCAATTTATGTTTTGCCTAATTGGCTTGTATTGCGTAATATCTTATTTGTGTGTCAATTACAAATGAAAATATAAGAAAAAATCACTGTCCGGACGCGTAAATATAGAGTTAATTCCAAAGTGGCTACCAATGATGAACTATCACAAGTCAGGTATCGTACTCAAGCAGAAGAGAGGACAACATAGGGTAAAAAAAACTTGGTGCCCATATCTGAACACAAAAACCACTTGAACTTGTGGCATTTTTTTCAGCATAGCAAAGGAACTAAACAATTCATGATATACATACCATACTGGAAAGCTTTTTCTGACAGAGTTATTAATTGCTAAATCTTTCTGCAGTCTAAATATGAAGATATACATTAATAAGTTTTCGACTTACATTTAGCTCATTGTGTTCATTCGGCACTTTCTTAACTAAACGCACAATTCCTGCAATTTGTTGCACGCGTTGCCTATTGATCGACAGGTTGGGAAAAGTAAAATACTGAAAAATAAAAGATAGACAGTGTTAGCTTATCATTCGACCCTTTGCTTTAAGGGTATTTATGCTTGCTACTTTAGGATCAAAACATAATGTTAAGTATTCCCTGGAAAGTCCTTTTTTCCTTCTCAAAACAAGGAAATACTTTCTAAGAATTTTTGCCTTTTGAATAAAGGCAGTTTATATCTCTATGGAACCATCAAGAAAACTTTAACTTCACGAACTCGATGAGCAATGTGTATATGATGTATGCTACTACCATAGTTTGTAGATGGAAATGGTTAGGAAGCCTTTTGTTGTAGGTTTTTGTGCACTTTTTTCCAAGCGTGACCGTGCACAATCTTTTGTTCAACTGATTGTTTTAGCCATACTGGTCACATCTGAATGAACAGAGCGAAAAAATATTCTTTTGACTATTTCTTCAAAATGCATAATGATTTCTAACCAATATTGGAATTTTTCATTTTATAATCTCATAGAGAGTGTTTATTTTCACTCATTTTGCTATTTCCATCGTCCGTAAGAAAAACATACAAAAGAAGTACAAACAAGGCTTTTCAAACCATTCCCCTATGTGAAAAAAAAAAACAAGTACGTAATTCAGAGAAACCGCACTAAAAATGGTCTTGACTGATTCAACCTCAAAATACATACAAAAGATGTACAAAAGAAGTACAACAAAAGGTTTCCAAACCATTCCCTTTATTAACTATGCTACTACTCACTTCAATATTTCCTATGAAAGTTTCTAGTAGGGACACTCGATCTCATACATACTGTAATTAAGCCAGCATGAATTGTTCCCCCTTTTTTATTGTGATTGTTTGGTGAAAATGGAAACGAATTCCCATTCAGTATTATTGCTAGTAAGCAGAATACATTGTAACATTCAATGGTCACTGCTACGCGAAACCACTTGTTTAAATTCGAGATCAAAAGTGCACTTTATAATTGAATCTATACAGTCGGAGAAAACGTAAAAGAAATCCGTTGTAGATAGTGTAAAAACCTTACTATAGAAAATTATATTGTGACTGAGTCAGTCAAGTTCTCTATCAACTGTAATTTCTATACGTATATATTGAGGTCCAATAAATATTATAGCTGCGAAAGAAAATTCCTTATGTAACATCTAAAATTCGGCAGTGATAAAGTCTTTGTATTATAAATACTTTGCTGTGTTATATATGAGAACAAATAAATGTGTTTCTTTGAAATTTAGTTTCTTTTTCGGAGTGTTTTAGTCATATACGACATCGATATGCCCGTTAGTTCCCGCCAAAACACAACGGCGTTCAATGTGTCTTAAAAGAGACATTCTAGTTAGAATTTATGAAAACTATTTAGGATAAGCTTTGAAAGTCTCTGAAATTTCCTACTTGGGCTACACAAAGTCGTACATTATTACATTCATAGTCCTGACATGTACATTTCAACATAGCGTATGCATATCAGTTCACCTTTTTGAAGATGTATACTAACTTTATTCAACTGGTCTGCACTGATGAAAGTTTCAAAATTGTTATAGACTTATTATAAAATAAAATTAAAATACTTACAGGCATTTTTGTGCTAGAAAAGTCCACAATGTGTGCGGTACTTAAATGAGCTTAGTGTCGTTACAGTGTAGTTGCAATAGCAAGAAAGCCCTCTCGACCTAGTCCCGCTCGCAAAAGATGACGGGCTATTGGGGTAAAGTCAATGACGTCGTCTATTACAAAATTATATTCCAAAATATTTGAGAATATTAATCAGAACTTCAGAAGAATATTATAAATATTTATCTCAATGTTTGTTAAACCCACATCTATAGGTTCACTTAAATTTTAACAATGTCGAAATTTTCATAGGAGTATAGTCCTTTTTAAAATCTGTTGACGATATAATCTCCATTTTTTTCAATCTTTATACACACATAATTTCAGTCCTAGGTTTTCATTTGATCAAATTCATTGATGCTAAATGTTTTTCAAACCAATTGAAAAATTACGTCTTCATCGTAAATTGTAAATCCCACCTCGAGGTTGACGGATTACACGCAAAACAAATGTCGCCTTGTCGATTCTTGTTGTAATTCTCATTTATACTGAACCCAGAAAAAAAGACGATACGTAACTACAAAACAATGGACTTTAACAAAAAGTGAAAATCTACTTAATAGAAAAGTTTGAAAAAATCTTTGAAATGGGTTGACGGAATAATGGTTGCTCTAAAGTTTACCTTAACACTTGGCCGATTAAGTCATTCTGCTTCAATCGACGTGGTTCACTGTGTTCTCTGTTACGCAGATCAGAAATTGGTTTTTGGTATGCACATCGGTGATTGTTCGCATATTTGTAGCAATAATAGATTTTTTATGTGATCGTCATTCCTTCGATTTTTGTCGACGAGTCTTATTCTCATTAATTCCATCTTGTCTATCTGCGCCATATTTATGATGATTCTTGAGACAGCTTCCTTTGGCCATTCTGCGCTTCAGTAACATCAGTTTCGTTAGTCGGAGCGCAAACATTTTAATTCCTTGTTGTAAGTTTCCCGTTTTCGTTCTTTTTCCTGATGAACTATATAGAAGCTTAACGATATCAGTAAAAGTGAACACATTCAAACTCTGGTCTCATAACTTGGTTCTCTGCCAGTATAGTGATGAATCGACGCTGTGTTGTACTAAGAAAAGACTTCTAAGAACTTATGATATTTTCAGATTCGTTTGATCTGTTTCAAAACACCGGAGATGATTCAAGTACACAGAAACCACAGACCAATCACTGCAATCATTCGGCGAAAGTATTGACAGTTGTCCTGGCAATCTTTGTACCCTTACTGACAACAATCATTCAACCACTTCAGATAGCCCTTCCAATAACAGAAAAAAAATGGTTTGTTGATTACTTTGTACCGCTGCTGATTTTCGTATCTATTACTCAAATCCATTTATACAATTATTGGTTCTAGATTTTCAGTATAATCTCAAATTATATAAAAAAAATGTCTTCCTTGTTAGAAGAAATAGTATTATATATGTCCCTGCATGTTGCACCGACGTCTATGAATTGATATTTGGTTAAATGAATCAATATTTCTCCGCATAGCTAACAAAGCATGGGATTTATGATACACTGTCACCGTTATTGTGTCACTGACTAGAGCAGCGCTATTGATGATACTTGCTGCGTCATAGAAATACAGCCTGCACCGCCTACTTGTTACTTTTTAGAGCTATGTTATTTTCTGGCTATGGCATCTTTTGAAGGAAAATTTATGGTTCCAACTGAAGATTGTATGTCTTTATACAGTTTTTTTCTAAAGATTGTTTATATTGCTGCTTGATTGTTCAGTGGGTTCGACACAGCTGTATGAAAATTATGAGGCATGACAACCAATCAYGAATGTTTTAATGTTAAAATAGTCTGCAATTACGTTGAGACATGAAACAAGATGAACAGGCCTAAAAATTACAACCCAATGAAATTACTATTTCTATGACAGCCTTTGTAGAGGTATACGCTGCTTCAAGTAATGAAAACGAAATTACATCTTTATATCAAAATTTCCGCTTTCATTACTTGAAACAGCGTACCTCTACTAATGCTATCATCGAAATAGTAAAATCATTCTTTTCTATGCAGATGGTGTCGGAGCTCAACGATCAGGTATAAATTTTCATATCTATATAATAATGATAGTAATAACTTTATTAAACACAGAAATAAAAAAGCTACAAGTTGCTTATATTACATTGACGCTATGTATGAAATAACAGTTAAATGCATGAATTGATATTTAGTAGAATCGGATAAAAGCAAGCACTACTCCAAGGAATAATTTAACTTTCACATTCACCAGACAGATGGTTATCAGAGTCAGATTGCAAACTCGGGTGAAAATACAAATCGTGAATAAATAGTTGTCATGTGCAATACGTAAAGCATCTAATAATACGAAACTATTTTTAAAAATATTACATTGCATAAAAGATAAAAAAATATTATATGACATAAAAGATAAAAAGTGTGGACAAATTAATTACATACGGAACTCTTGACAAACGTACATTTAAATGACTGAAAACATGAACTGACATAAAAGTTCCCAAAATGCCTAGCTCTACGACAGTAACAAGTAACTGTATTGATAAATATGAATTTGACGTTAGACTTCTGAAGCTTTTACGTAACCAATTTGAATTGCAATGCATCATGGGATTAGTTTCTAAAGAAATCAAAAGAATTCGTCATATTTTGTGGCAATCTTATATGCGTATTTATTGTATAACGTTAAAGCTTCAGACGTCTATTATGATTTAAATTTACTCAGGATCATTAATTATTTGGAGCAGTAAGTTTATAATTACGGGATGTGTTGGGGGGCACGTATAGATAAAATAAGAAAACAAAAATGGCTCTGCCTAATCGAGCTGTTCCACAATGCATTCACGGATTTCCTCACAAACATCATTGGCCGAGTTGTCTTSCTGATTTCGCTCCTGTAGAGGCAAACAATAACTTGAGATACTGAATATTTTGCTTTTGATTGCTATAGTAAGACGCATACCACAGGTATATTTGTTGCTGATTCCTGGCAAATTGGTCTCCACAGCATCTGCTGACTATTGGAAACGGACTGCAATAAATATGATAATAAGTATTGTTACTGTTTTCAACACAAGAATACTGAAAATACTCTATTTTAAAAGGTACTAAAGTGAGAGTCTACCCTTGGTGAGAGAGGTTAGAATTTACCATTTCTCAAAGTTTACTAGGACCATATCATTGGAAGCTTTTACTGGCAGAGTTATATTATTTGCTGGAAATTTCTTCAGCCTAAAGATAGATTACGTTTTCGACTTACATCCAGCTCACTTTGTTCTTGTGGCACTTTTCTGAAACGCGCCATTCCTTCCGTCTGTTGCACGTATTGCTGGATCCTATTGATCGACCGGCGAGTAAACTAAAAAATATATAAGTTAATCCATCATTTCAAGGGTGCTTAAGCTAGCTATTTGAGGATCAAGCCATAGTCTTGTGAATGGAAGAAATGGGTAAATATACTAGATATGATTTTGTATTTAACAAGAAGATTTATCGAGCTGATCTCGCTCCTGTAGAGGCTAAACGATAGGCAAACGAGAACTTCAATATTTCTCTATAAATACCCAAGTTAGATGCATACCACATTGATGTTTGCTGCTGATTCTTGGTAGCCTGATCTCCACAAGATCATCTGCTGTCTAAGGGTTACCGGCTGTGTTATAATTATAAGTAATATTAATACTTTAATTACCAACACAAGAATACCTGAATACATTAAATACACAAGAATTCACAAAAATACTGAATACATTAAATTAAGGCTATTTAAATGAGGTTCTAGCCTTGGTATCAGAAATTGGAATTGACCATTTCTCCAAGTTTATTTTTGTGGACGCTTTAAGGATAATATAAAAGATCGAATTACAGTTTCGGCCTATCTACGTCATAATTAATTTAAGAAGAGTAAATAGTAATTTATGTTGGCCTAAATAATTGGTTTACATTATGTGCTGCTTTTTTTTATACTTTGTCACTTACTTAATATACTATGAGAGGGTTAATTCCAAACTTTGGTACCAATAATAGGCTATCAAGAATCCAGCATTCTGATTGGATATGAATAACATGATCTATGGATATTAGATGATGGTCCACTTAGAATAGGAGAAAACATTGTGAAAAAGGTACTTTTTTTGGGTGTTCATATCTGAAATCCCGGGTCCACTCGACCTTGTGGTACTATTTCCAAAATAGCAAAGGAGGTGAACAATTGTTGGTATACATAAGATAGAAATTAAAACTGCTCAAAAAAATTGATAACTAAAACTTCTCAAAATATCTGCAGCCTAAATATAAAGTTTTCGTCTTACATCAAGCTCACTTTGTTCTTGAGGAACATTTCTTAACCGCAGCATTMTTTCAGTCTGTTGCACCTGTTGCTTAATCCCACTGATCGACATGCGGGGATACTGAAAAATATAAGGTAAACCTTTACTTTTATTGACGTTTTCTAGCTAGCTATTTGAGGATCAAACAATCATCTTGCGAATGGAAGGAATGGGTAAATATACTAGAYGTATTCTTGTATTTTACTGTATCTATATATTATTATTTTTACCTGCTGGTTGTTGTGGAGTTGTCCAAGCATTGAMAATGCCGAAGGACTTTGACTGYCACTCCCTCCTTCCTAAGCAAACAAATTAAATCATTTGAATGATCATTAAAAATAGTCGTAGTGCCTTTAAATAGYTACAATGTTATTAGTTTACTCTAAATGAGCGAAAAGTGTTATATTCATAATAGTTGCCCACTAGCTTTCGAGATATAATTCAGAGGATTCATCCAAACTGCAATTCGCGAATTTTGTTAGTTCATTCGTGATGGAGAGGTTGTAAATCATCTCAGTTGGTACCAAGATTTTAGTACAAATTTTTCAGAAACTTTATAGAACCATACGACAAATATTAGTCAGTTTTTATTGACAATATTTTCTGTATGGAGTTGAGTTGTTAAGTTACAGCTACGTTTAACTGTACTTGTACAGAAGTCGAATAGTTGGTTTGTTTTGCTTTGATTTAGTTAATTGGTTTGGTTTATGTTTAGTTCATTTTGGTTTGGTTTGGTA